TTAGCGAGCTTGAAGAGGAATAACAGCATTTTGTCTTTGCCGACGTGTCAATAATAACAGGAGAGCTTTCCTGTACTCGGGCATTCTTCTTGTGTAAACCACAGGATCAACAAACGAGTTTGTGTAAAATAGAAGCAGTAAAGACAAATTCAATCGCATTCCTTTTGTGAAAGAAAGTGATCGAATGCTATCAGTTGTATGGAAAACAAAGGTAGCTATAGCATATGGTATCCACAACAGTAACGATACAATAGTAATGATGAGTAACGTGACAGTCAGTTTTCTTTGCCCACGGGCTGCACCATGGTGCTGAGGACGTGCCCCACAACAAATTTGAACAATAATTGAGGCGTAACAAGCACAGATAATAAAAAGACATAACAAGCAATATGATTGCCATAAAAACTGACTGTGTGATTCTTCTTTGTCGGATAATTTTAGCATGAAAATGGCAGTTGATATCATCCCAGCTAAAACCCAGACCACACAAATTGTTACCCCGTAGACCCATTTTTTGATAACGCGATGCCTGAATGGACGAAATGTTGCATGCATCCGCTCTAACGAAATTACAGTTATGTTTGTAAGAGAGGTTAGAGGAAACCAATAGAAAATAAACCAAGTTATCATGTTCCCTTCCCCTGATAACCTTACAATCACAGTTTTGCATCCAATGTGTGTAATGATTAAGAGGAGATTTATAGTAGAAAGTCCTCCAACCAAAATGTCAACTACGGTCAAGTTTATAACCAAGTACATGCCACGAGTGCGAAGATTACTGTTTTTTATGAAAAGAATGATTGACAGGAGATTCACTGTTACTATAGCAACAGTTACGGCAAGGAATGCAGCAAACCAGATAATGCACTCGGATGAGGAAAACATCGTGGATTTTTCTTTTTACTTCCCACCTTTTAATTCTCGTCTTCTTTCAGGCTCGGCTAACCTATGAAAAGAATTCGCTGAGTAAGCAAGGGTTGCTTAGTTGGAAGAGAAAAGTTAACAGGTGAATTTTAAAGAATGAATTCAAATCCTCAAAGATCTGCAATGGAGATATATTCAAAGGGCGCTCACCCCAATCCTAATTAAGCTATTCCTTGATGTCGTCCCAAAAATTGAATCAAACGTCTTGTTTTCACCTTTGGAAAAAAAAAACAAAAGTAGCGCTGAAGGTTAGAGTAGGATGAATTTGTTGGGAGAAAATATGGGCAAAAAATTTATATTCAACCTCGGTTTATACTGGAGCTGAATATTTTACTTACTTATTAAAGGTAAACCTAAAAAAGTCGGCGCTGCTTTGTATGAATCATATCACTAAGTCAGGAATTCAGTGTCATCAGTTGTAGCAGTGTCATGAAAATGATCACCATTAAACGTCCTCTGAGATCTTGAGATATCAAGAGTGAGGCGAGAGAAAATATTGCATCTTAGCCTGAGAAAACAGCCGACATTAAGCGACGCTACGGCTGGTTTCCCCGCCAGATGACGTCTGAGAAACGGGCGCAGAAATTTCATATGGAAACAAACTCGAGCTTTGCTATTTTTGTTGACTGACTCCGATAAATGGGCTCGGTGACAAATCGCTTGTACCTAACAAAAAAGTGAAAACTTTACGACGACAGCGATGATACGTGATTATAATTTTATTTCTTAGTAACCACACTGGGGCTTGACGACGATTTCTTAGAAACTAACCTCTTTATTCATTAGTTAAACATTTTTTTAGGAAGCCTAGTCGGTGTTGAACAAAACCGCCAGCTAATGGCTCCTCATGAGATCCCGGTAAAGCGCTTGCGCTGGCCCGGTTTTCGAGATCTCGCCTCAATATCTTTCGTAAAATTGCGATCTGACTGCAAGATCAAGAAAAGACGGCCTATCCTGGGATCATGAAAATATGAACATTCCATCTCCGTTACCAGGACGAACTTTTTTCAAGTATGCGTGCGACTTCCTTGAAAGAAAGCGAGTTCAGCACCATTGGGAACTGAAACTGGCAAAGGAAACCATAACTTTTCTAACGTCGTGCGCGCTTTACACCTTACTTTAAAGTGACGGGAAGACTACCTTTCCTTTATTATTTATTTCAATCAGCCGTCGGCCACTCCAGCAGAACTCAAAACAGTTTTTACCTCGAAACGAAACGTCGACGGCCAATTATCTTTCCCCCATGCGGCCATGTGATATTCTCTATTTTCTGCGTTAAACAACCCACATATGCAAATATCTCAAGATTCACAGATTGTCGTGAGCCATATATATACTTCCACTTTCAATCGGCCTTCGACAAATCGACCCTTTTGATCGACAGTATACAGTGATTATTCTCCGCAGTCTGTCTCGCTCTCAACTCAGGCGAAGAAACTGCTGCTAGTAATCGATGTTATTTGCTCTACTGTTTTAAGCTCTGTTTATCTAACCATGCATTTATAAACCAACATATCCTGCCTGGGGGGTTAACGGGGCTTAAATTTATCATGAAGGTTTGAGGAGCCGGGGGCCAAGTCATCATATTATCTAAAAGTTCTTCGTTGCAGTTAAGATCATGTTTGTTGCTGATGAATGCTTCCTTATTCAATCAGCCTTCCTCCTCGAAAAATCTACCCTTTTTGATCGACACCTACAAGGGGGCCATTGTATTTCTCAGCAGCCTACCATTTGGGGACCCATGCAGCCTAAAGCTGTATTAGTACTGAGTAAATGGTGTTCTTCGTTGTACTATGTTGCACCATCTGTTCAACATACAAGCAAATTTAACAAACAATTTCACTGAATGAATAATGTGCACTGGTAGACCTTTCACTCCCAGAAGTCGCCGAAGTCAATTCGACAAGAATTCCGAACCTTCCGTTCATGGAACAAATCGTACCAAGTTAAAATACTGCTGAAAGAAATTCATTTGAATGGTCACCACCGTATATTTCATAGGCTTGCAAACTCAAAAGTTAGAACCACCATATAAGATCCCATTATTAACTCTGGGAGTGAGACGCGTCTCTCGTTGATCAATCAAACAGTATTAGAGTTTTTGCGGTAACAAAAGAATTCTCCAAATACAATGTAGCAGCTTCAAAGTCCACTGTCTTCTAGATGCGAATCTAAGCACCTCTTTAAATTCACCCGTTAAACTGTTCAGCAACTTCATGATTCGAGAACTCTGCTACCTACTAGAAGAGTTTGGAGTTTCCTTAGTTTTATCGTAATTGTTCTCACCATTCCACCTAAATTATACCGCGCAGCTAAAACATTTTGTTTTTTCACCGAGTTCTCTGCTTACTGGGGTCCTTTCTTACCTTTTTGACAAGTACTGCCCTGGTTGACTGATCTGGAAATGAGCTGAGTGCAAGGACGTCTGTGCTTAATTCGGACACTGATCGCCTCAAATAATGGCCTCTTTATATAAACGAGATACCGGTTTGCTGAAAAGTGTTCAAATATAGTATTCTTTTCTCAGTTCCAGGGACTGGTTCCCTTTTCTTCATTTGCCACCTTCTTAATAAGCAGCTCGAAAGTATGAAGCTAAGTTTTTGTTGTAGACAGTTTCAGCGCCGTGTTATTACATGAACAAATGTTAACTATGAACTGCTGTTATACTCATCGTTATCTGACCCAACGAATCGAGAACACAGGTGCAAGTTAGAGGAACGGGACACTGTCAATGTCAATATTGAGATAGCTATAACGAGTTAAGATTAATGGAAGAAGCCCATACGCCCACAGGCGTCTTTATCTTATGAATTAATATTAATATCTTATAATAAAGTAGTTTCAACGCCACAGCTAATTGAAACATTTAAAATTGCAAAGTACTGTTTGTTGTGTTTAAAAAAAAAAATGTGTGGCCGGGCAAAATGGCTACTTCTTATATTGAAGAAACAGCTCAGCTGGTTCTCTAATTTTGTTGTTGTTGTTGTTGTTCTTGTTGTTGTTTTGACAGATCAAACAACTGAAACAACTTTATTTGTATCTAGTAATTTACAGATGATAATAATTTGCAAAAAAAAATTAAGTATAGATCCGGCAACTTGATCAGTTTCATTGGTTTATAATGGTGGCTCTGTTGTTCGGTTTTTAAAAGCTATCTTGTTCAGTAGCGTTTTTTGCATGCATTAGTGCGTGTACTTATAATCACTCAAATGTGGATTTTTAGTCATCAAGGCTTTCTTTAATGAGCATGTGTTCTAGAGAAAAACAGAAATTCACCAGGACATTTGATGGCAAATACCCACGGAAAAGACAGGTGTTTGTTAGACCATGCAGTAGCACCAGTTTGATGAAAATGAAAATTTTTGACCAAAGACAGCGGGCACCTTGTTCATGCGTCGCTGAAATTGGGTGGCCATTTAAAATGACACCATATCTATTTGGCAGTTAACAGTTGCTCCCTTATTTTACAGTCTTGTCAGTCCTAATGGACAAGAAATGTTAACATGCGTTTATCTGGTCACATTAAAAAGAGGCGACTTTTTAAAACATTTAGCTGTAAAAAATTGCGTCAATTTGACTACCTCGTTTACTTAATGTTATTCATCAAAGAACTTAAGCCTACTCAGAGTGACCCCTGTGAGCACTTGCTTTTATTGTATATTTATAGGTCATAATCATACTGTATTCTTTTACATGATAATGAAGCTGGATCCCAATTCACTTCCTGTAGAAAAAAAATTGATTTTATTTTAATTTTGCTTTTGCACTAGGATTTTTTTTAAAAAAAAGCTAGTAATTCATCACAGGAGCCCATAACCCAGAGCGAGTGACTCCCATACAAGACCTATTGTCAAGGAGTTTTTTACGGACTAGTTTATTTTTAGACACAATTTAGGACACCTTTTCCCTCGAGAATAGAACCTCCACCATGTCTATGGGCGCATTCGAAGTATAAGATATCACAAAGGAAAACTAAACTTTATTAAAAGGCAAAAAATATCACTTTAGGTCTGTAGGTTTTAGTGTATGGTTTGTGGAATTCAAAAGATATTCAAAATTTGCACCACAACCGTTCAAAAAATAAACTGGTCCGTGAAAACGCTGTGACAAGAGTGCGTGGAAGTTGCTCGCTCCAGTTCATCACACATGATCGATTTTCCTTTAAATTATTTAAGTCAATGAAATCTGGAAATCGACCGGCGCTATAACTTTTAATTTTCTGAGAATTATGAAAAGCTTCAAATAATTTATATTTACATAGTTCATCAGTTCAAATTCATACATTGTGTACATTTCCAGTAATTGTTAATTTTAGGCATCCTCTCTTCCATCGATAAAATGAGTGAACAATGGCAGTAATTTTAAGTATTCTCTTTTCCTTCACTAAAATGCGTGTAAATTTATAACAATTAAAACCGTTGAAACACAAACAAAGATGTCACAAGAAATTTGCACGATAACAATTTTTGTGTTAGAAAAATGTTTAAAAATCTCTCCTCCACATTTCACAATGTTAAGTTATTTGATCCAATTCTTAAACCTCAGTTGAAACCAAAATGGCATAAAACAAGAAGCTAAATATTTATTTGAAAATTAGAATTATATGAAGGGGTATGATTTAGAAGCAGGTGAACTCTAATGAAGAGAGTCGAAGACCTGAAGACTGTTTCAAAAACAAACAAAATGTTAAAAGAACTTTTTATGGGGAAACCGCCAGCTTCTTTTATTTGTTCCAACAAATTTATATAGCCTGTTAGCCAGGTGAGTGAAAATGCTCCATAGCTTAATATCCTTAGAATCATATAACAGAGACCGTTAAAGAACGAACATTGTCCACGCATTACAGGTGTTAAAAAACTGTCGACCATTGGGGGACAGTCCGAAGCAGCCAAGATGAATTTCAGTAATTCCTCAGCCAACAAGGATGCTAAATATTTATTTGAAAATTAGAATTATATGAAGGGGTATGATTTAGAAGCAGGTGAACTCTAATGAAGAGAGTCGAAGACCTGAAGACTGTTTCAAAAACAAACAAAAAGTTAAAAGAACTTTTTACGGGGAAACCGCCAGCTTCTTTTAAAGACGATTTTTTTTACTTCTCTCTTATATTTACATTATCAAGGCCGTGGTACCTCCTTAATATAAATTACCAAAAATCCCACCTGCTTAACTCAAATTAACCCTCGGACGTACACGCAAAGTCATACCCCAAGGTACCCCTACCGTGGTACAAGGGGGGTGATGGGACCCCTCCCTAGAGGTTTTGATGTGTTGCAGTATTTCGGAAAGATTTTACCGTCAGTGGAAAGCCTTTGATATTTTCGGATAAGATGAGGTATATTTTATGGGTGGTCACGCTGCTGGAGACCTGTGACGTCACCAAACTTGGTCGCCATCTTGGATTTTACCAAGAGTAAGTAATCAGGTAAAAACGGGGAGAATTGGTAATTGTTTGTGCTTGAAATGTGAAATGTCACATGCTTCTTTTTATCCCCAAGCTTTACTTTTATCGTTGAAAGAAGTTGAAAAACACAGGTTTTTACTCAAAAATTGACCACCTGCTACTTATGACGTCATAACTTGTAACCATAGCAACTGATCATCACTAAACTTGTCTCAGTTTCCATGTGCGTCCGAGGGTTATAATGTTTACTGACGCACGTAAGTCGTCTCTAATGGCTAAAAGACACTTAGCACCGAACCCTCGAGCTGTTTACTTTATAAAAATAATTTTCTTTCTTAAATTTCGCCTTTAAGAATCCTGGGTTGTCTAGTCAAAAAAGAGCAAGGCGAGCAATATAAAAATTATAAAGTATTGGCGTCGTCAAAACAGAATTTCCTACAATACCAGGCAAAATTGCACTCGAAATCATGTTAAGTAATCGATCCTCAGAAGATGATAACTGGGCTACTTTATCGAAAATGATTGGCTAATTGTTCCAATGAACTAACTACGGACACGATCGGAAAATTCAGGGTACAAATTAAGGTCTCGGTAAATGAAAATTTTAGTACATTGCTCGATTTTGTTTTTTTTGGATTTTTGGCATGAGTGGGTCCTAAATTTTATTTTGACAGAAAAAGAAAACCAGAAAGTGCTTTTTAACCCTTCTAAAATGAGCCTTTTCTGAGCTAACCAGCCAAGCGTGGACCCCGCGCTAAATCTTTAGAGCTGATTTTCTCTCACTCTATTTTAGACGCAAAAATCAAAATTCTCCGACCTCCAGTCGGGACAGGTTTTAAGCTATCGCTTTGAAACTTTCAGATATGATGGATAATGATATAGACTCAAAAAGGGTGTGAGGAATTTTCCGATTTCCCTTTGTAACTCATTTTATGTCAGTTTCTTTGCGTAAATCGCACTCGAGATTCGACTTTTTAGTTTGAAATGCAATAATTCCGCTGATACGAGACATATGCAAATTTCCTCACACCCTTTTTTAGGTCTTTTATCTGTCAATCAGACGCATTAAAAAGGAAGTGAATATTTAACAACGCGAAAGGGCTGGAGCTTCAGCAGTAACCTCGATACCTCTGAGTTCGAGAGCAAAAAACTTAAGCGCCTTTTTGAAATTCGATGAAATAAAATCTTTTATAAGGTAATTTAGTCTTTTAGCTTTAATTTGATATATAACTTGCCTTTTTAGCGAAAATACTCGCGCGACTAGAATTTTTTTCTGTGGGCTCCTCGTTTTCCTTTACCGAGACCTTAAATAAATGCCGCACGCAGGTCAAGCTAGTCTGCGTTGCAGTCGTCTAATGAGTTTTAACACTGGGTAGAAATTGCAACAAATTAAATGTTAGTCTTAACAGTAACCTGAGAATTACGGGATATCCCATATTATTACTACTTCATGTATTTTTTCATACCAACTAAATGAGTTCACCCGACTGACACGAGAAAATGAGATAAAAATTGTCTAAAATAACGATAAGAAAGGTTATTTCGTTGAAATTGTAGGCGAAGGTCAGGATTAGGCTAAAATATATATCAAACCATGCTACGCTCCCTAGACAAGATTTTGTTGAGAACATTAATGAAGCATATTTTTTCGACAAGAAAGGTAATTACGGAAGCTTATTAAAATAGAACCTGAGTTGTTTTACATCGAATTCATGACAGTAAAAGGTTTAGGTTAATTGGTTTATTAATTTAGTGGCCATTCTTTATAACACCTATAATTACATCCTCCAAAACACCATCCCAGACCCCAAGTTAACTAATCAAATAGTATATGAACACCTAAGAGTGTGCCTTTAATTTTAATCATGCCGGAACTGAGTTAGACATAAGTAAATTTCAACTGAAACTTTCTTTGCTCGCATTTTTATTGTTCAACAAGGAAAATAATTAAGGGGTCAATTGTGGTCCCCTCGGGTTTTAGTTATATCACTTCTTAGCAATTAGTTTTTACAGATTCGACAGTGCATTAGCCATTTTCTGGTAAAGAGGGTCATATGACGTCTCGTCGGCCAAATTGATGTGCCAAAAC